GTGTACGTGGGTTTTCCGTACGCGTGTACACGTACACCTTTATGCGACAGGTATGCGTGTGCATGTACTCGCGTACGTGGGAGTGAAAAAAAAAAAAAAAAAAAATCTGAAAAAAAGTATGTTATGCAGGATAAAATTCCAAACAAATTTTGCCTGAGACTCATCTCAAAATTCTTAGCCAAACCCGAGTCAAAAATCAGAAACTAACAAAAAAGCAGGGCTGGTCCCCGGATGGACCGGGGACCCCTACCCCATCCGCGGTCCTTCTGGTTGGACCGGCCGGTGGCCCGGGCCGGTTCCCTCCCGTTTGCCCCCAGCGCATTTTCGCTGGGGCCTGAATTTTTTTTTTTGTCGGCGCGTACGTGTTTCCAAGGCCTCGTGGGGGCGGGCCCTGCCCCGCAATTTCGAAACCGGGTCCTGTGGGCCCGGATTTTTCAAGTACAGAAAGTGGCCAATCTTGGCCGCCGATCGTCGCAGATCAGCGGCAAAGATCGGCCAGGATCCCATTTCTATAAGAAAAACGAGCAGAGGATATCCGCCGCTGATCTGTGCAGATCAGCAGCGGAGAACAGCCATGCGTTTTTCCTAAGATGTGGGTCGGGTAGGCCCCCAATCCAATTTGTCATCTTGTGGTCCAATGGAGCAGTTTCCATTGGCAACATCTGATGCTCTTTCACCCTCAGCCACGAGGGGAACGCTATGCTTCTGATGATACTCTGCTGAGATTATATCCTTCTGGGACGTCCCTGCCATCTGTCGAAAAAGTTATGGGTTCGGATTTTGTAATTGTGATTTCACAGCCGTCCGAGGTGCAATCCCAAGAATGGACCTAAAATATAGGGCGTTGCTGCACTACTCTCGACATGCACAAAAGACAAAAATCTTGGCGGTGTATCTTTCCGAATTCTAGCGGAAGATTCACTCTCATTTTGCACATTTCGAGAGTAGTGCAGCGAGGCCCATATTGTTCTCTCTATCTATCTCGAATGGACCTTGCTCCACTACATGTATCTGGACAGACTGCCAGACAAGATACTTCCGGACTGACAACTCACCTTATGTAGGAACCAACAAACAGAAAACGCTCTGCCTCCACGAGCAGAAAGCTGGAACCATAACTTTTCTGCTGTCGAAGTATACTCTGGAAGAGCTATAATTTCGGGCAAGGACCTCCTCTCATCATATCTGGTTCAGCTCGTGGGGTATCAATATCAAATGACACACTCCACGAAGTGCTCCAGCGACGGGGGTGTCGGATAAGTGAACTGGCTTACTTGACCCCTACCTGAGGAAGCCGTAGTTGCCTGAATATGTCAATGATAACCCCCTACCCCCCTCTGGAGCCCCCTGAAAAATGTTGTACCTTAAAAATTTTATTGCGGATTCGGACAGCTCTTGAAGAGTGCAGTCGGAATCTGCCCAAAAAAAAGAAAAAAGAAAGATATTTGGGCACTTTTTTTCCAAAACCGGTTTCCCGGTTCACCCCCCCTGGTCTGGTCCGGCTCCGGTTGGACCAGGGTAGCTCAACCGGCCGGTTGCCGGCCCAGCACTGCAAAAAAGTAATATTCTCCTAAATTCCTAATAATTAAAAAATATATATATATATTCTTTTAAAACTTTCGCTATAGTTTTTTATTATTAACTCGAGTTTGGTTGGGAATTCCGAGATGACTCCCAGGCAAAAAGTAGTTTGCATTATTATTCTGCATAATATACCTTTTTGATATTGTTTTGAAAATTTTGATTGTTTTTTAATCACGTATGCGTACGCGCGATTTTGGCTATGTATGCGTACTCCCCTAATACGCATACAGGGTGCTACCCCGGTTTCTAATATTGATGTATCTCCCTTTCTTAACCCACCAGTACCTCGGTGAGCAGCTTCTCAATATTATCTGAGGCAGTTTCTTGAGCCTTTAAAGTTTAAACCGCCAGTACACGGCCCCAGCCTTGCAGAAAGTTTTTGTTTCCACAAGCAAAACTCGGAGGCGCCGTGCGGCCACGCCCGCCGTTGAAAAAAAAAAATGGCGGCCTCCGAAGTGGTGCGGCTTTCATGCGGACACCCGCGGGCCGATATGTGGTGTACAGGTGCTTTAAACAAAATTTTGAAGCAGCCACGAGTAGGATTGATGAGACTCTTGATTCATTGCGCTGTTTTTTTTCTTTGCTTTTTCCAGTTGTTGTTTTACTTCCATATCCATTTCCTTGTTTGTCCTCGTCTTCTTAAATGTGTCCCGGCCAAGCCTCTTATGTGCCCCTTGAATTCTGTCATTGGATAAGCTGTGTCCTCCCTACGTAGAAACAGACCTTCGGCCTCGTATTGTTTTAATTTTTTTGTGATTTGTGCATGTTGTGAGTAGTGGAGCGCGGCCCATTGATTGATTGATTGATGTTTCTTTGAACGTTCGCGTTTGCTTCAGGAATACATTCATAGGGTTGGAAGAACTGCACGTGGCGATAAGGGTAGGGGAAGAGCACTCCTTTTCCTCATACCTGAAGAAATCACGTTCCTGCGCTATCTAAAGGTATCATTTCCCACTCATCTTTGCGTTCTTTTCCTCAACACCCCCCCCCCCCACCACCACCACCACCATGTCACAATGAATGCAGTGGAAGAGCACTCCTTTTCCTGATATCTGCAGAAATCACATCCCTGCACTATGTGGGGGTACATTTCCCTCCTACCCCAAACTTTCTACTCCAATCCCTTGACCCTTTCTCCGATCTCTCCACCCTCCCTTCCAATCGTCCAGCCCATAGTATCTAGCACTCTGTGGTGTCCTTCTCTACAGGCATAAATTGACTCCCCAAACCCCCGTTCCAGGGAGTTTGGCAGCGATGAATGGCTTATTCAGTTCACCGTGCTTTTCTATACTTGTGCTTTGCAATTGTTGGTTCAATCGCTAGTCCTTTGGGAGACATCTGTGAAACTTGGAACGAGATACGGAGACCCCTGGTCATTATAGCAGCTGAATTTGGGGCGACATTCAGTCTGGATACAGCCATAATGACACTGGACGTTCTATTTGGGTGAAGACGGTAGTGCTTGCTGAAAGCATTTTTCCCCTTCTGTGTCTTCCCCTATGCATATCACCTCTCCCCTTTCAGCAAGCTTGAGCTTTTTTTTTTTTTTTTTTTTTTTTTTATTTTAACAACACACCTGTCTGGGTGCTAGGGGTGTCAGCAAGCTTGAGCTTATGTTTATGTTTTCCAGTGCTTCAATTACCGTTCTTTGTACACTTTACGGGGGCTCTCTCTTTCACATCATGTAACTTTGGAGAAATGTTTTGCTCTTGCACTTCAGGAGCTACCATGTCTGACCAACATCTGTTCCCGTTGTCCTTTTTTTTTTTTTTTTTTTGGTCGTCTTTTTTCGGTTCAACAGGGCGCGAAGGTTCCACTCAACGAGTACGAATTCCCTGACAACAAGATTGCGAAAGTTCAGTCGCAGTTGGTGAGCATGAACTTTTCTACTTTCTTGGCCAAGGGGGGTTGTGCAGTTGCTTTTCCTTCTTCTCCTCATTTTTGAGGTACAAACCGTACAAGAATAATCAACTTCAGTAGGGACACAAAAACGAGTTATAATTGCACTATGGGGCAAGATACAGTTTGCAATTGGGGGTTGTGCAGTTGCTTTTCCTTATTCTCCTCATTTTTGAGGTACAAACCGTACAAGAATAATTAACTTTAGTAGGGACACAAAAACGAGTTATAATTGCACTATGGGGCAAGATACAGTTTGCAATTGCACTTCGGGCACCGTACCTGGCCAGAAACGGGGTTGTATACATCGCCCGAACTGCAATTCGAAACTGTATCTTGGTTCATAGTGCGATTATAACTCATTTTGCGACTCCCGAGTAGTGTCCCCTAACAGAAAGGGGTAACTTCAGTAGAGTCACAAAAACAATTTATAGTTGCACTATGGGGCAAGATACAGTTTGCAATTGCACTTGGGGCACCCTACCTGGCCAGAAAGCTGGGTTGTATACATTGCCCGAACTGCAATTCGAAACTGTATCTTGGTCCATAGTGCGATTATAACTCATTTTGCGACTCCCGAGTAGTTTCCCGGAAAAGGCAATGTCACTATCCTGCCGGCAGGACAGGGTGCCGGAAATGATGTCTTCAATTTCGGTTTTGATCAAAAATGATGTGTTTTCTTCTCTTTTCTTTTCTTTCCTTTTTTTTTTTTTTTTTGTCTGAAGGCCCATGACCTTGAGATATCATCTTCAAACTGACCAGGCCCAGGTAGATTCAGATGTACTTACTCATGTGAGTCGATTGGGACTCTTAACTGAGATCTGTATTTCTACAGGTCATGGGTGTACGAACTGAGCTTTTGGCTATGATAGTCTTCTTTTCTTTCTTTTTCCATCTACGCCTAGTACTGTTGTTTATTTTTGTCTGAATCTGGTTGTGGCTTTTTGAATGTTTGTATGGTAGCGCTGCACGCACATTGTTCTCCCAATTTGTTCTTGCAAACTTTGTTTGGAAAAATGAACATTTGATGATTTCTATCAGGATTTGAACCCATGATGTGTGTAGTAGTAGTGCACCATTCAGCCACATGGGCTGGGTGTTGTTGTTTGTCCAATCTGTTTGTCTCTTTTTTTTTGTTTAACATTTGCGCCAGGTCTCCGGTTGGAATCCCACTCAGCCCAACACTGTTTATCAGTTGGCAACAACTGCAGAAAAGTAAAGTGTTTGTTCTGTTGTTCTCCATCCTAAACCCCGATTACGATCATTACGGGGCTTTGCCGCGCCCGGGGTTGTTGTTTTCCAAACCGAAACCCGATTACGGGGGCTTTGTCACGCCCGGGTTTGTTGTTGTTTTCCATCGGAAACCCGATTACGGTTTTTTTTTGGTTTGTTTTCCATCCGACCGAAACCCGATTACGGGGGCTTTGTCACACCCGGGTTTGTTGTTGTTCTTCATCGGAAACCCGATTACGGTTTTTTTTTTGGTTTTGTTTTCCATCCGACCGAAACCCGATTACGGGGGCTTTGTCACGCCTGGGTTTGTTGTTGTTCTCCATCGGGAACCCGATTACTGCGTTTGTTGTTTTCCAATCGAAACCCGATTACGGGGGCTTTGTCTCATGCCCGGGTTTGATGTTTTCCATCCGAAACCTGATGAGGGAAACCGGACACCCTAAACACACGCCTGGGCGGTTGTTGAATCTGTTTATTCGTTAAAAACAGACGGGCATGTGCGTGCCTGTTCATTGCTCCCTCCGGAGTGTTGTACTTGGTCGCCACCGGTGTCTTTGATGAACAAGTCCCAGCGGGAACGGTGTGGGTGGTCCCTGCAAATAATTTCACGCTGGCTTTGAGTTTGTTGCTGTCCACACTCAGGGTTATTGATCGATGTGTTCCTTTGTCAATCAATGTATGCATGTTCTCCCTTTTGGCCCTCTGATCTTGGCTTCCTCTCGTATGTGTTTCTTCGTTGGTTCGTCTTCAGGAAAAGCTCATTGAGAAGAATTATTACCTTCACCAGTCAGCGAAGGATGCGTATAGGTCTTACATTCTGGCGTACAACTCCCACTCGATGAAGGACGCATTCAACGTGCACAGGCTTGATTTGCAGGTAATTCCGAGTGCATGCCTAGGCCCAAGCCCCAAACCCTAAACCCTCCTAAGCCCTAAACCTAAACCCTCCTAAACCCTGAGCCATAGACCTCAAAAGGTCAAGCCCTAAACCTCAAACCCTAAACGCTAGACCCCTTAGGGTGGATTGCGGGGGGGGGGGGGGGGGGGGGGTGTATGCACACGCAATGGCTGGATTCCCCTTGCCGGTTGGGAAGTGTGGGTTTGATGGTTGTCCTGTAATTTGATTTTTGTTCAGTAGAAAAAAACATGAAAGTGAGAAAACCATCATAATCACTGGAAAACTCGGAAGTGAGTTCACGGTGGAATGATCCCGCACTTTTCACGCGGCCGGCTTAGACGGAGATCGTCACACATGCACAATGTCCAGCGTTAGTACCACATCACACTTGAGTCTCTCTCTCTCTCTCTCTCTCTCTCTCTCTCTCTCTCTCTCTCTCTCTCTCTCTCTCTCTCTCTCTCTCTCTCTCTCTCTCTGTGTGAATGTCTTCCCTCGACCCCTCACCCACTCTCCGCTATGAGCTACCCGCGCTGGGCGCCGTCACATACAGTACTCTGTCTCTCGGCCTCACTTGTTGCTTCACCGCACAAGAGACCGCAACAGCACTTCGGCGGTAGGCATGAAGGGAAATTGTGTTGAAGTTCTGCTGATGCTGACCTTACGTACTTCCTGCGGTTCTCAAGTTTTTGGATCGTTCCAGTTGGTAGCCTTTCGCCATCTCTGCGGCCTGCTTCCAGCGCGTTTGCCAATGCTTTTGCGAGTGAGCTGTGAGACCTACCGAAAAATAACAAGCTGAGCCCACCGGATCGCTAATCTACCGGCCTACTTCCGATGGATCTACAGGTCGTATCTGGTACTCTGGCAACGCTGGGACATGAAGTAGAGCCCCCCTGCTGCAGAAATGGTAGCAGCGGACGTCCTTGGTGACATCCGGTTAGTACAAAGAAGAAGATTCACATGGCCCCTGTCCAAAAACGCCATGCACAAATTGAGGAATGGTCCAAAAGAGGGGGSGGGGGAGGGGGCGGTGGGACACCACGAAGGAATGTGGAATGAATGCACAAGGGTAGGACTGTCAWTAAAAAAAAAAAAAAAAAAAAAAAAAAAAAAAAGACCAGGTAAAGACGGAGCACAAGGAAAAGTTGGAAAAGTTGGAAAATCCAGTGATTGTGGCGGCTTATTTCTACTGACAATCAAATGATCCAAGTGAGGGCATTTCGCGCATCTCCAAGTCCCGATCGCAGTTTCAAAGTCCCAAGTCCCATGTAACATAGTCCCAACAGGTAGGAGTCCTAGGCTCGCAGACACGAGTAGGCTGACTGTGTTTCTCTCCTGCACCCGAGAAAGAAAAAAGAAAGAAAAGAAAAGAAAATGAAAGGCATGCTTTCTTTTCTCTCAATTTCTTTTTGTTTTAGGAGCCATGCCATGCCATTTGTTAGGTGGTCCATTGACTTAATCATCGGACACGCAGATCTTTTTGTCCCCAGTTGGAACGGATTGCCCAACGGTTTTTCACTAGCTGGTCGTGTTTGAAGCGATTGCCCCTGAGCTGTTGCTCAGCTAAGATCTCCTCTTTTTTCTCGCACTGTCCTCGCCGCACTCTTCCCAAATGTTTATCTCCACCGTATTGTCACATTTTATATATTGCCAGGGAGGGAAGGAGAAAGACATGGATTATGTGTGCACTGCAAATGCCATCTTCCCTTTTCCTGAAGGTAGCATTTGCAGCTCAGGATAGTGTTTTTGGATACATTGCGAGGGAGAAAAGGAAAAGGGGAAAAAAAAAAAATAAGGAGAAGAGATGTGGATGGAAGTGTGTACTATGGAGTGTGTAGTGTGAACGGGTTGTTGGCGGGTGCTGCTGATTCCCTATGGTGTTTTTTTTTTTTTTTTTTTTTTTTTTCCCAGTTTTTTGTTTATACTTGCCTTGGACTCGCTAAGCAGGCAAAACAGCAATTTCGCCAGAACGGACGTATTTTATGTTTTGATTCTTTTGAACGAAATTGAAACCTCATCAATTGGCCAGATTTAGGTCGATGTTTTAAAATCCCGTCACCTCCCGAGGGTACGGAGTCCTGAAAACGTCGTACCGCCTGGACGCCAGCTAAGTCCAGATACATCCAAGGACGCTGTGCCCCCCTGGACTCCAGCGAAGTCCAGATACATCCAGGGGTCCGGCGTTTTAAGGATGTTTGACTGTTACATGCTGCGCCCGCAAACGAGGGCCGTTTTCAGGCCCTGTGTCGTTTCAGCCTGAAAGCCTGGAAACAAGGGCCTGCAGGCCCTGTGTCGTTTCAACCAAAAAAGGGCCCTCCAGGCCCTGAGTCTTTTCAGTCTGAAACGGAGGGCCATTTTCAGGCCCTCATAAGCTCGACCTGCCCTGAAACTCAGGCACCAGACCAGGGTTTTAGCACAGGCCATTTTGGGCCTGTTTTCAAGACAATCTTTGATGAACTTCAACACCAGGGTCTGGCACGTTTTGGCATTGGCAAGAGCAGCCTCCTGGATGTGCCAGCATTATATAAGACTGGCCCGCCCTGCAGGCTGCAGGTAGTTCATAGGGACTTCCCAGGCACTTCACGTGCAGTTCAGGAGGCAGGAGGTAGTCTTCAGGATTCGGCAGCAGTAGTAGTAGTAGCGTTAGCAGTAGTCTTCAGCGCTGGGTGCTAGTAGGAGTTAGAGTAGCACTGGAGAGAGAGAGAGAGAGAGAGAGAGAGAGAGAGAGAGAGAG